GGGCCCTCATTTGAGGGCTCAGTGGGTCCATCCCGGCCCTTTAGGTGTAGACTGCCTCTGATCTTCAGAGGTCGAAGTTTATTCATGAATAGGGGTCCATATTCACCTCCGAGCCCTTCGTTTCATCGTGAGACGCTCCCGGGCTTCGGGTGTCATGACGTTTGTGAGTTAATGTAGAAGCCGGAGTCATTACCAAAACTTCTGGTTCTTAGGGTTCCTTATTTTGAGCCGATTGTAGCATACCCCCAAAACCCTATTCTAAGTGTTAAGGCCCCTATATTAACGAGATCCGAAGCCCGATTTGCTTGCAGAGCTTGTCCATCGAAGGTCAGTCTTTGGAGCCCCGGGATGGTCCTGTTACTATAGGGCCTACTTGGGGCTTAGGGTTTAGGGAATATTGCCAATACTATTTTGGTGGTTCCTTGTAAGAGATTAAGTATAGTATAATCGGCCCTAAAACCCTATTCGAACTATTATTAAGGCCCCTACATTAGCACGTTGCGGTACTTTTGAGGGGTCCGACGAAGGGATATGACCTTGACTAGGTTGCCTTTCCAAAATACCCCGGATGTCACCATCCCTATACCCTAAACCCCTAAACCCAAAACCTTAAGCCCCTAAAAACCCCTAAGGACCAAGAGGCAGGCCTTATAGAGGTCCGAGTGGGCCCTATAAGAGCCGACAGGTCTCGCGCTACCTTCCTGGGGCTTCGACAGCTGCCGAGTTGAACTCCGTTCCGCGGCTGGAGGCCCGGAGTTCGAGAACTGAGGGGATTAGCATTTATTTTTTTGCCTGTAGGGTCGTGTACAGAAGGATACAACTAAATAGGAAGATATCTCTCTCTACATATATATACATACACACACACACACACGCACATGTAAATATGTACATATGTATATATGCATGCATGTTGTTCAAGAGCGGGGGTGGGGGTGGTTCCCTCTTGGATCCTCTGGGAACTGAACACAGCGGACACGGAACGCTTCGAAATAGGCGTTGCTCAGGGGTTTACAGGGCTTTTGAAATCGTATCCCTAAGTGTGAAATCCTAAACCCGTAAATGCCAAACCCCTATAGCCCTAAACCCTAAACCGTGTATCGCATCCCTTTATGGTATACTTGTATTCTGTTAAAATGATGAAGGACCGATTTAAGGTCGGAGCCGATGCAAATCCTAAACCCTAAATCCTGAATCCTGAGACTCTAATTGCCTAAACCCCAAAGCCGAAATGCTGAACCCTAAGCCCTAAATCCTAAGCCCAACCCCAAGTCCTATCCCCCAAAACCTTCCATGTTTAGGCCAATGCTGGACCCGGAAAGACCATAACCCCCAAGGACCCGGAAACCCAAGAAACCTAGGAGTTATCCCGCATAACACCCTGTTTAGGGTTTAGAGTTTAGGGTGTAGGGTTTAGGGTATATACACCCCTATAAGCGCTATGAGCCCCGATGTCCTGTAGGGTTTAGGGTCTAGGGGATGCCCTGATGACTCGAAGAAGATGTGCAAGTAAAGCGGCATGATCATGTTGATTCTGAGGATGCCCATGACGATGATGATATTAATCCAAAATGATGGTGCTGTTGTTAATGATTCAGGTTGGTGCTGTATTCAGGACAGTTTCGATGATCACACGAACTACGGTCATGATGCCGACAAGAAATGAATCCCACAACCCTACAGCAACCCTATACCCCAAAACGGCATTACCTCGCCTCCGAAATCCGGGAGCTGTTTGATGCCTCACAGCCAAAGACGCTGTGTGCCTGGTGACCCGGCCGGACCCCATTCAGGGCGCAAAACAAGCCTCAAGAGGTATCCTACTGTAGGGCTGGGGTATCGTCTGGTATACTTCTGACAAAACAGGGTCTTGAAACGAGTGTTGTTTCTAAACATGCCTGTCTAAGGGTTCGACAGGACCCACCCAAAAGTCCTAGTCTGCAAACTCTGTGGTGAAGACAGTACAGGATCTAGGGTCTTTGAACTCAGCCAGAAACCCTAAACCCCCGATTCCGTCTGAACATGAAGCAGGGTGAGCCCACGCAGGGGAAGCCCTGCTTAAAAGCCCCTTCCTCTCCTTGTGTTGCCCCGTCGATGTTTCTGCGACAAGAGCTGAGAGGGACCTGAGTCCCGGATTATGGAGGAGGCCTCGGATACTTCAGTGGGAATTGGGCGTCTCCGGGCTGTTTGTTGCTTCGGCTTCGGAGTGGCGGCGACCTCGCTTCTTCCGTGGGACGGCCAAAGCATCATTGCGGATCTCCACTTCTTCACCGCAGAATCCGGGACAACCTTGGCCCCAGCCCCTTAAACTCCAGAATTAACCTACTTTTTTTTGTAGGTTCCTTGTTGTGAACCTAGGATAACCGGAGTTTATTATAGGGACCCCGCAAATGCCACAAACAGTAGGTTTTTGGTCGTTCCAGGTGTCAACGACGACCACGACGTCGGGTTCCATCTGCAGCTCCATTCGCTGTGGCTCCTGGTCCAGGATGCCTCAAGCTCCCCCGGTGCCCAAAGAGCCATCAGGTAGTTCACTGGCATACGTTTGTTGCTCTTTTTGGTCACGGGTTCCAGACAGTATACTCTGATATAGTATTATTACATAACTAAGTAGTGCTAACCCCCAAACAAGGATGTATTTTCCAATGGGTTATACTGAAGAGCTCTACAACTTCCCTAGGCCACCCTTCAACTGGAAGAAGCACCTCCTAAACCCTAAACCCTAAACCCCCAAACTCCTAAACCCCTAAACCCTAAACCCTAAACCCTAAACCGTTCTACGTTCCCGAGGCCACCCTTCTACTGGAAGAAGCACCTCGTCCTCATCGGCGACTCAAGGATGCGCTATCAGTACGCCTCCCTGGCGCACCTTTGGTCCTACTCCCTATCCTGCCAGAACCTACCTTTTTTTTGTTGCAGGGTGTTAGGGTTTCAGGGTTGTTAGATGTCGGGGGTTTCGGGCTCATGAAGGGTATTTTAGGGTTCGGTGCTTTAGGATTTTTTGGGGGGTGGTTTCTGTGAAGGTACTTCTTCACCTACGATGCCTTTGCCACGGGCACAAACATGGCCTTCCTGGCCAGCGTGGAGCAAGCTCAAAACGGCTACAACCACTGGCTCCTCCTGGTGTACAAGAAGGTATATAAGTCTTTGTGTGAAGGAGTTGTAGGTTTTATATGTCGGTAAAGGGGTTTGCAGAGCTTTATAAGGGCTTTTTCAGGCCATTATGGATTTTCTTGTTGTTTTTGTCCTCTGGTTTCCTGATCGGGACGCTAGCTAGGTTCAACCGGACCAGCCAAGTCTTGCGGCACGACATGTGCAACTGCCCCTCTGTCGCAAATTTAGTGGTAAATTGTTTCCTAATTAAACCTAACCAAAGCCTGACTGTGAGCCTTAAAACCACAGAGCAGAACTCAACCCTGAGCTCCTACTAAACCTTAAACTTTAGGGTTTAAATCCCCCTCAGATCCGACTTATAGGAGCCTCATCGTATCCTGCAACTATCTAAACCCTACACGCAAGCCCCAAAAAATCCCTTTAACAAAACCTTTCATCTCTATTCTTCCCCCCTTTATAAGACCCCTATGAAAGCCCAAAGTATAGGGGTTTGGAGTTTAGGGTTCTACCTACCAAAACCCACTGTTTTTGTAGGGTCCCTACGTCCCTATACCAGGACCTTCCTTGTATCCTCAAACAGGGGTATCTGGTCCCAGGTTTAGGGTATTTAGGGTCTAATAGAGGGTAGATGGAGGTCTAGGCAAACTCGGAGATTGCAACACTGTAGGTTGTGGTAGTTAAAGGTCAGGGTTCGTGAGTTGTTGTAGGGGTGTAAAGCCTTTACAGTAAAGGTCGGTTGGACGTTTCGAGGGCCTGCTTGGAGGTTCATGGGTAGTTATAAACGGGGTTATCAGTAGGGTAACTATTTTTATGAGCCATATTAGGGAACTTATAACCACTTATAACTGCCCCTAAACCCCTAAAAACCCAAAAGCCCTATAGAACCCTTTAAAGGAACCCGTTAAAGGAATTCCATATAACCCCACTTAGAACTACTCATGAACCTCCAAGTAGAGTTCAGGGAGTTGGGGCAGGACTCCACAAGTCAAAGCAGTGTGCCAATACTACTATATAGGGGCCAAAAGAACAACCAGTCTATACTATTTTTGGTGGATTTTTTGCTACAGTTATAGTATAATTTTCCCCAGATTCTAGTTATTCAGGCCCCTACATTGTGGCATCATTCTGGGGTTCTTGCGTTCAAGGGATTCAGTGGATGGCGCCACGAGGCACACGCCCAGCCACGCCTCCTGCTGTGGAGTGGTGTACGTAATATAGTGGCCTTGCTAATTAGACTAGGGTTTGCGCGTCTACTCTACTGTTTTTATTCTGGGGGCTGCGCCCACGGGCGGGCAACGCAGGTAGAGGCCTAGGCCACGCACCCCCCCTCCGGCGAACCCCGCTGATGATGACGATGCGCGCCCTTTGCGGGCTTCGGCAACCCACTCAAAAATTGGTAAAACATCGTCTCGTACTGCAGGGCGGGTCGCGGGCGCCCTGAGTGCTCATGATGCTCGCCGGCTGGCCGCCCGAAACCCGCCATAGCCTGGCGAATGGCTGCGAAACGCGTGTTTCCGCCTCTTGACTTGCTCGCCGCAGTTCCGTGCGTCTCCGGCTGTCGTCCTGCTCCCCCTGCATCGCACTGATGGGACATACGGAGTGGTCTTGGGAGCGTCCAAGGGCTTGGACTGCTGAGTTTACCAGGAGTTTTTTTCAGGGTGTGCATTGGCATAACGGGGTTGTATATATATAGGAGGTTGTGTGGTTTAAGGTCACCATAGTTTGCCATGTAAGTTCTTCCTTCTAAGAACTGGAGTTCAATTACCACCAGGGGAGTCCACATCATGCAAGATGGCGTATCTTGTATTGTCGGAACTTCTTGAATGTTTCCCTTTCTTCAACAGGAACCCTCAACCCTAAACCCCATAACAAAAACCCAGGAGAAGATGCTCGCCATCACCTACTTGCAAAGGTTTGGTACGAACATCATGCAGGGACACTGGAAGGCGGAGGGCACCAGCCTTGATCAGTGCAACTGCCCCTGTGGGCCGAATGAGTGCAACATCCTTCAGATACCCTCCAGATGGAGCCTTGGTTCTTCTTGAGGGATATACATTAGGTTGTATGCTTTACAGGCTTATTTTGGCAATTTCGATGAGCTCCGGAACAGAAAACCCCAGGAATGTGACCACCATAGCAGAGCTCGCGAGCCTTGTCGTCGGCTTCCAACCCGACTTTGCCTCTCGCTTGAATCTCCATACAAACACACCGAAAAAGCACTCCCCCTGAGTCCCAAAACCCCTAAACCCTACACCTTTGAACCCTAAACCCTAAGCCCCGAAACCTAAACCTCTAGACCCCTGAAGCCTTAAACCCCAAACCGGCGGACCGAAAAAGCAGCGCTCCAAACCCAAAAAGCCTAAACTCCTAAACCCCGAAACTCCTACAGCCCTAAACCCAGGTGGTCTTCCATCCGGGCTGGGAAGAGATCACCAGCTGGCGGCAAGAAGATGTGGTCCAGCTCTTTACGGAGATTCAAGAACCCCGGCGGTCGGGGCTCCTTCAAGGGTTCCTTAACGGGTCCGGCTGCTACAAGGGTTGTTTAAAGGGTTCCATTATAGGGATCCTTACAGGGTTCCTCAAGGGGTGCTATAAGGGTTCCTTAATGGGGTTCTAGAAGGGTTCCTTAAAGGGTTCTGTACGGGTTCCTTCAACAAGGTTTCTAGAAGGGTTGCTGCAGAAATGACTCCGGCACCTTGATACCTAGAGCTTGGTCTAGGTGGACATTCTGCTAAGGAACCCTGCAGAATAGTGCTTTGTCACAAGGGGTTCCTCGAAGAATTCCATAACACATTCCCCTAAGCCCTAAACCCTAAACCCCTAAACCCTAAACCCTCTAGATCCTAAGCCCTAAACCCTATAGACCCTAAACCGGTATGGCCATTTTCGTAGGCCTCCATGGTCTGTAGGGTTCAGGGTTTGGTTTCATAAGTGCTCCTTCCAGGGTTCCTTAAAGGGTGCTATAGAGAGTTCTAGGCTTTTTTAGGTTTTTGGGCTTGGACTGCGAAGGGGATGCTTGGGAACTGAGGAAGCGAGACCCAGTGCCCAGATGTATTTCAAGACCCGATTGCTGACCTCTCGGGAGAATCCCCAGACTTTCCTCACCACTCTCAACAGCCTCTACGCGGACATGTACCAGAAACACCGCTTCGCGGAGCGAGGCTGGCACATGTATGATGTCTCCAATCTTACCGCGAACTGGAAGGTCAAAGACATGAAGTGTTCGTTCATGTGGGACAACTTTCATTACGACCTTCCCTCGAACAACGCCTTTAACAAGCTCTTGCTGCGGGACCTCTTCGGTGTAGACGTGCAATGAAAGCTCTGGCTGCTATGTCGGCATTTCTTGGATTATCATTGCTTGACCTTGGATACAGCCGGGACCGAGCATGTTCATACCGTCCAATGTAGCATTGATATTGCTTTTTGTCTCACAATGAAGCATGTGAGCGTTTCCGGTTCAGAGAATGCCACCTGGGCGCGAAGACTGCTAAGCGTTGCGTCTCTCCCTCGTTGCGGGGGGCCGCAGAAGATGGTTTGCTTGATCAAGGCAGACCCCCCCATCCCCCCCTCCTCTGTTTTTCAGACTCGATAGTCCCGTCGTCGAATGACGTTTCAATTTGCCCTTAAGGCCATGGCTTGTTGGGACAATTCCGGATCCATTCCGCCGACAGTGCTAAAGCTCAGCGAAAAAGCCTGGTGATGAAGCATGAGTTGAAGACTAAGGTGATCCACAGCCTGGTTTCCAAATAATCGTGAGATTCTGAACTGAGAGCCCCGGCGGCCAGCGCCACCGTCGCAGGGTTTAGGGATTCGGCCGCTAACTAGAGGTCACAGTGTTTAGGAACAGTATCCCTCCGTAACAACTGTAGTCCAATGTCAGTACACTGCAACACTCACCGGTGCTCTCTCGAGAAACATTGGAAAAAGGGTTCTTGACTTCCAGACTCTTATTCCAACGATCAAGGCCCCTTTTGAAACCCAATCCGATCTAAACCCCAAACCCTACATACATCCTACTTATAAACATCCTAAACCCTATAAACCATCCTAAACCCCCAAACCCATCATAAAGCCCAAGACGCCACTCCCAAATCTGATTTCCCACGCCCAAGCCGCACGCAGCTCCTGGCAGATCTTCGCCTTTACCTCCGCAGCTGCAGCGGCGGAGACGAGGAGGCGATCTGAGATAAGAAGGGGCCGGGTTTAGGGTTGTTTTTGAGTCTTAGGGTTTAGGGTTTAGTTTTTTTTTTTAGGTCTTAGGGTTTAGGGTTTAGGGGTTGTTTGGGTCTCAGGGGTTTAGGGTTTAGGGGTTAGGGGTTAGGGGGTTTAGGGTTAGGGACCGGGCTTCTAAATTCTAGAAGAGTCTAAACCGGGTCCAGGCTCTACAGCATTGCACCCCAAAAATGACATCAGGCGTGCGATGTTTTTTTTACCGGGGGGCTCAATTAGAAGGGGATTCGTATGGTATATCCCTATGCTAAGGGCTGGGGTTCGACATGCGTTAGGATGCCGGCGTTAGGATTTTGGGCTCAGGGTTTAGGAGTTAGGGCTTAGTGTTTTGTTTATAGGTTGTAGTTTACTCGAGTTTAGGGCTCGATGTGCGTTTACCGCTATATGAAATTGGCTAAACCAAGATGGATTGAGGTTGTATGAGGATTCGGTCAGAGTTTGATGAATCTTCTACAAAGGTTTCTATACTAATAGCAATAATAGTAACAATAAGAATAACAGATAGTAGAAGAGTGCAATGAGGAGGGTTTGGGATTGAGGACTCTTCTGTTGGGATTAGGGTTTTGGGGTTCATTTAAGGGTTTAGGTTTTGTAGGGGGTTGTGGGTTAGGCTTCTTTACGGGCTCTGTACATGTTCTGTAAGGGTTCGGAGGCTGATGGTTCAGGGTCTTATAGGACTATTGGTTGATGGTTGAGGTTTGTGGGAATACGCCTTTTGTCAGGCTGGGCGCCGTCTACGTGGCTGCCTTCTCTTTCAAGGCGGCAGAGACCACGGCCAGTGCGGCAGCGCGGCTCTTGCTCACGGCGCCAGCAGGCCTCGAATATTTCAAAGGGTCTGAAGGGCTTCTAGGAATTGAAAAGGTTTCATGCAAAGTTTACCAGGGTTTAGGGGGGTCAGGATTCGGTGCTGCACGTGCCACTTTACTCCAGGGCGGCATGGGTCATCTGGTAGTCGTATGCATTACCCGGTGTTGTTACATGGGCTGGCATGGGCTGGGTTCACGCACCGGGGTTTCTGAAAGGGTTAAATTCAAGCGGTAAGTAGGAGTCCTTATGACACGGATCATACCTTGTTTGTTGGTGTGGAGGGGCGAGGCGGTTCTCGTGACAAGGGTTTGTGTTGTGGTCTTGTCCAGGTTTTGTCGGGTTTAAGATGCTTAAACTGGGACTCATTGAATCAAGAGTAGCCATTAAGCCCTAAACGCCAAACCCTCGCAATACACCCTTGCAAGTCGGCGGGAATGCCTTTACGTCACTCTAAAACCCCTGTCGTACATCTTTATGTCAGTGAGCCCTTACGCCCCACCGAAAGCTCAAAGCCCTAAACCCCAAGTTTTGAACCCTATAGTCTTTAAGCCCTAATGAAGCCAACAAGACTTGTGGATCTCTCGCAAAACCGAAACTCCGACGCAGCCGTTATCGAACGGTGCCAAAAAAAAGATGTATATCCTTCAAGCAGAACTCTTCAGCCTTCACCAAGCCCTCAAGCCTAAACTCCAAACACTAAGCCCTAAAGCCGAAACCCTATAAACCCGAAACCCGAGACCCTAAACCCTAAACCCTAACTCCTACCTACTGGAGGCCTCCAGTTCATGGCAGACACTGATTGCAGCCCGGACAGCAGCGCCGCATTGCTTCCTCTGCTCCTCGGAAGTATCAGCTGCAGAGCAACCGGAGTTCTACAAGTGCCGTAGAAAGGTTACATTATGTATATATGCAAAAACCCTGTAAACTTTATAATCCTAAATGCTAGAATCCAAAGGCCCTCAGCCAGCGAAGCGGCTTTCTCCGGTGGCCGCGTGCTTCCCGTGGGTTGGTGCACGGCGACGCGGAGGCAGAGGGTTTTGCTGGTTTAAGGCCGTGTAGGGGTCTAGGGATTGAAGTAGGTGTTCAGGGGATTTAGGAGTTAGGAGTTTCGGCGTGATTTCGGATGTTTTTTTGGGTAGGGGTGTAGTTGAGGTTCGGCTCTTTGGGTCCTTAACCCCTAAACCCCTAAACCCTAAACCTCAAGCCCCAAAACCCCTAAACTCCTAAACTTCGAAACCCCTAAACCCCCCCCCCCCCCCCA